AATATCAGCGACATGGAACTCTCATCCTTTCCTTTTTTGGCTAGAACACCTGGCTGGCCAGGTCTTGCTGGTCTCGTGTGCATGAGTCACATGAAAAAGTATTAAACGGTTTTGGCAGAGACTCATTATCGCCTTGTGTTTTGTGTGGCAGCCTGAAGTTCTGCCAACTCACCTCAAAAACAGCCAAATGGCTCTAGTGCCTGGGCCCAAGCTACCTTTTAAAACATTTCTCCTCTCCCCTCCCCAGCTTTGTTTCCTAACCTGCTACAGAAGAGCTGACTCTAAGTCTTGGGAAATGTCTAGGAAGTTTCAAAGACAGTCGGTTTTGTGAAAATTGTAATAAACTGCTTCCTGGGCAGTCACTGGTGTTGTCCAGATCCTGGACAAAATGCAGCTAGATAGAACCCAATGGGAACAGATGGGATGCTGGAAAGACACTTTAGGTGCATAAACTTGGGCTGGGCGCAAGAGACCTTTAGGTGTTTGAGAAGAGAGTCTCTGAATGGCAAAGATACTACAGAAAAAAACATTCTGACACCAACTGAAGTCAATGGAGAGGTTCACTTAAATGGGTACTCGAGTGGACCCTGATTGACCAGAATGCGACAGTGACACAGTCATTTTTGAAACAATATTGCAGAACATGATAGCGTTTGGGTCTATGTCTACACTGCCACTGAACGGAACGGGAAGCCCCGTTAGGCATACCCGTACTCGCTTTCATTTAGCTAGCACAGCTAAAATAACAATGAAGACTCAGTGGCATGGGCTTCAGCAAGGTGCGAATCCTGGGTACATATTCATGTTGCTAGCCTGTGCTGAAGTGAGGGCTGCTAACCAGATTAAAGCTAGTGTGGGTATACCTACCTAAGCTGCAACCACACCTTCGATTGCAGGCCAGTTGCAGTGTAGACATAGCCTATGAGAAGACCAGGGTCAAGGCTTAAAGAGATGTGGAGGTGAAATACAAGGACATTTGAAAAAGCACCTGTCACAGTTCAGGGCAACTGCAGCTGTATTTCCCGTCATTGGTCCAGCAATGGCACCTGGTATCAGGCTTCCAGCTCCCCAGCCATTGCCTTTCTGGGTGGAAACCCACATCTCTCTCCCTTCTGACCAGGGTATTTCCAGGCTGCACAGCTCCCTGCCTTCACTGTGTTATTCCCAGCAGGGAGAGGCTGCCTGAGGACACCTGCTTGCTTTCTCTTTAGGGATGGTTAACCAGGGTGATTACTTCAGTTATAAGTACCACACAGTTCTTTCTATGCAAGCCTATTATATTCTGAAGAGGAAAGCACTACAGAGAAAACACATGAAAAACAATAAAAGAGACTGCACACATGTAGTGCATGCATACCTCTCTGGGGGACGAGGGGGCTTCAAAGGTTTGATAACAGAGCAAATACAGTGGCAGCTCCTCTCCGTACTAGAGAAGGTACACACAAAGCCACAACACCACATACACAACTACACTTTTAATGTACCCCAAAGGTATTAACCTTCATTCTATAAGAGTTCACTTAATTCAATAAAGTTTATCTTAATTCCATAAGGTTTGTTCGGGATATTACAGAAGGTTGTCAGCCTGTCACAGCGCCATTTTGAAAGGTGACTGTTAAATCCAAAAAGACACTACAGTTAAGAGGAATGGCTGACAGTTCAATGCAATTCAGTGTGCAAAATGCAGGAAATGCATTAAAGATCAGTGTGGATTCATGAAGGATTATTCAAAGATCTGATGTTAATATAATATTTTACTGAAAACTGTAATTGGGGAGGCAACCCCACAGCAATGCTCATAGCCAGTTAAGGCTTGTAAGGTGTCACGGTTCCTTCTCCACTCTGAACCCTGGGGTACAGATGTGGGGACCTGCATGAAAGACACCCTAAGCTTATTCTTACCAGCTTATGTTAAAAACTTCCTCAAGGTACAAACTTTGCCTTGCCTTGAACCATATGCTTCCACCACTAAGTGTTTTAAACAAAGAACAGGGAAAGAGCCCACTTGGAGACGTCTTCCCCCAAAATATCCCCCCAAACCCTACACCCCCTTTTCTGGAGAAGGCTTGATAAGTATCCTCACCAATTTGTACAGGTGAACACAGACTCAAACCCTTTGAATCATAGAATCATAGAATATCAGGGTTGGAAGGGACCTCAGGAGGTCATCTAGTCCAACCCCCTGCTCAAAAGCAGGACCCATCCCCAATTAAATCATCCCAGCCAGGGCTTTGTCAAGCCTGACCTTAAAAACTTCTAAGAAAGGAGATTCCACCACCTCCCTAGGCAACGCATTCCAGTGTTTAACCACCCTCCTAGTGAAAAAGTTTTTCCTAATATCCAACCTAAACCTCCTCCACTGCAACTTGAGACCATTACTCCTTGTCCTGTCCTCTTCCACCACTGAGAATAGTCTAGAACCATCCTCTCAGGAACCACCTCTCAGGTAGTAGAAAGCAGCTATCAAATCCCCCTTCATTCTTCTCTTCCACAGACTAAACAATCCCAGTTCTCTCAGCCTCTCCTCATAAGTCATGTGTTCCAGACCCCTAATCATTTTTGTTGCCCTTCGCTGGACTCTTTCCAATTTATCCACATCCTTTTTGTAGTGTGGGGCCCAAAACTGGACACAGTACTCCAGATGAGGCCTCACCAATGTCAAATAGAGGGGAACGATCACGTCCCTCGATCTGCTTGCTATGCCCCTACTTATACATCCCAAAATGCCATTGGCCTTCTTGGCAACAAGGGCACACTGCTGACTCATATCCAGCTTCTCGTCCACTGTCATCCCTAGGTCCTTTTCTGCAGAACTGCTGCCTAGCCATTCGGTCCCTAGTCTGTAGCTGTGCATTGGGTTCTTCCGTCCTAAGTGCAGGACCCTGCACTTATCCTTATTGAACCTTGGATCGTAAGAACAATGAAAAATCAATCAGGTTCTTAAAAGAAGAATTTTAATTAAAGAAAAGGTAAAAGAATCACCTCTGTAAAATCAGGATGGTAAATACCTTACAGGGTAATCAGATTCAAAACATAGAGAATCCCTCTAGGCAAAACCTTAAGTTACAAAAAGACACAAAAACAGGAATATACATTCCATCCAGCACAGCTTATTTACCAGCCATTAAACAAAAGGAAATCTAATGTATTTCTAGCTAGATTACTTACTAACTTAACAGAAGTTCTGAGGCTGTCTTCCTGATCTGTTCCCGGCAAAAGCATCACACAGACAGACAAACCCTTTGTTCCCCCCCCACTCAAGATTTGAAAGTATCTTGTCCTCTCATTGGTCATTTGGGTCAGGTGCCAGGGAGGTTACCTTAGCTTCTTAACCCTTTACAGGTGAAAGGGTTTTGCCTCTGGCCAGGAGGGATTTTATAGCACTGTATACAGAAAGGTGATTACCCTTCCCTTTATATTTTGACACAAGGGAAATATGCTTTTTTTGCTGTCATAAGTTAATGCTAGACAAGGGCGGGGGATTTGAAGAGAAATAAGAAAGGCTTCTGCAAATATATCAAGGTGAAAAGAAATACTAGAATGACAGAAGGTTCCATTAATAAAGGAGGAAGGGAAAGAAATTAATTACTTAAAATGGCTGAGACACTGAATTCCTTTGTTAAATCTGTCTTTTAGGTGAAAAATATATAAATGGAGTTTGAATAATTAGAAAGGAAGGAAGACACTGTTAAAATCACTCTAATGATAAAGAGAAGCTAATAGAATACTTGGAAAAAGTGAACAAAGATATGGATTCTAGAGTAAGAGAATTAGTTAACAATGAAACACTGACAATTATTTTTGAAAAATCATGGATACTAAAAGGCTGGGAAAAAGTAAATTAATTCTGATTTCCAAAAAAAGGAAAGAAGAACAATTCTAGTAATTACTGCGCCATGACTGAGATCCTACCCTGCAATCAGCACAGCTCAGAAGGGATGTATTGAAAGGTAGCAGTAAGCCATTTTTGTGACTCCTTCCTCCATTCTCCCCTGATTCTGTGGCCATCTGGCTGCTGGATAGGTCTCTACCTGGTCCCACAGGGCTCCTCTACTTTACCCCTGGCTGGCTGCCTCTTTAACCCATCCATACCCCGACCTTGGCCCTATGCAGTCAGAGAATTCTTAACTGAGAGAATACTCCAATTGCCATCGGAACTGTTTTAAAGGCTCTTTTGTATAACCAGAGCAGTACAAAGCAGTGTTAATGGGGCCAAGGATCAGGCTATATAAGATTAAGCCCATGTAAAATACTGGAACAAAAAATTAGAAGGGGAAAAATCATTAAATACATAGGGCCCAACCAACATCTATTGAATTCAGTAGAAAAACTCTTATTAACTTTAATGGGAGCAGAAGCGAGCCCTTAAAGGATAATGGAGCAATGAGCAGTAAGCAGCCTGGGTTTATAAAGATTACATGTTTCTCAACAAACTTTTTGTGACGAAATTTGACATAATTCGTAGGTGAAGAGTGATAGTGGGCTATGAAGTACAGCTCGGAAATAATCCCTTTTGTTGAGATAATTAATTATAAGAATCATGCCTTTATTTTGCCAGCTGGCTGTTGGGATCTGCATTGCACAGCACCATGTACACTTATGGAGCTATATAAATAATGAACTGTGTCGAATTTGGGGAATGAATAATTTGATATTCAGATAAATATTTATAGCCATAAAACCAGTTACTCCAGTTCTGTCATATGCATTACACATAACAGATTTAAATTGAATAGTAAGAGTACCAGAAAACATTCATGTTTTCTACTGGACAACCTTTTCATCATTTATTTCTCCTTCTCCATAGTTTGCTATTGCTTCCTCTAACTCAGTGTTTATGATTTGACCACTGGGGTTATTATTCTGTAGCTCTTACATGAAACTCACCTAACATCGAACAGAGTTTGCGGTGAGTAAGGACTGTGCGATGGAGCCACAGGAGAACAAAATAACACACATGGTTAATATCAAGATGGAATCATATAGATATATTATGTTACCACTTCTGTTTCCTTCAAGATAGGTTCCATTTCTAGTTGGGCTGGATGTCTGATGCCTCAAACCAGTAGATGATGGTCCCCCGGAGGACTTCGGACCGGAACGATGGCTGCAAGAGGAAGGGGAGCCTCCAGCAAGACGTCCATCTCCAGAGCTTTGTCTCATGGTATACAGGGAGCTCATGCAATTAAAGGCAGAATCAGAAGGATCAACACTGTAGCGCTTCATGTTCATAGGGTCAACCAGGTAATCTTCAGGTACGATAGTTTCTGCTTGGCGGGAAGCCAGTGAAGAGAAATATAGATCAATGAAATGTAGATCATTTCTGGTCAGCCATTGAACATCTTGTTTAAAAAGTTGTTTTGTACAATTAGTTTAACTCTCTTTGCAATATCACACATAGCCAACTGGAATCCACCGGCCAGAGCCCTCAATGGGATGCCTGTGCTGAACTGCAGCATGGGCAGAGTAACAGTTATGCTGTTGGGAACTTCAAAAGTAATTGCTGCTGCAACAGCCGTACAGACAACTGAATGCATCTTCTGGGTTTTAAGAAGTGACAATGGGTAATAAGACAAATTCATACCTCTGGTACTAAATAACAACAACAGGTGTAACTCCACCTAAGTCATTGGAGTTAAAGGAGGGTTGAGTGTGGCTCAGTCTGATTCAGCTGTGTTAGTTTTGTTTTGAAGTAATTATTTCTTCAGAATCAGGGGGCATTTACTGTTAAATTTGAAAGGAGGATGGGGGAAGCATGGTCCTGATGGGATGAGGCACAGGTCTCATTTGCCTAATGGTGCTACATGAATAACAGAGTATGCAGGTTATGCATCCATCATTCTCTTATTCCCTTGCACATAAAGCATGAAGGTCAGAAGGAAAAGGAGGACAAATGGGCATGCAATTTATTGGGTAAAAACTCCTGTCAGCCAATGAGAAAGAGTAAAGATAATAAACCAAAATGTTCTGGCTGCAATTACAAAAATTAATCAGGAAATATAATCGGCTTCAGACAGACATCAGGCCTGATATTCCCCAAGGGAAAGAAAAACTAGATAATTCATGAGCACTCCCAAGTTTGATTACCAACAGAGAGAGATAATTGAGCTTTCCAAATACATTTCAGGTGCAAACATGAATACAGGCAACATAACCACTTACAAGTTTTTGCCCTGTTGCGTCCCTTCCCAGTTTTGTACAGTTGTTGCTTTCTGAAATAATAACTATCCAAACCCAAACAGAATGTCCTTTCCTCTTACCATGTAGCCATCAGTTTATATTATTATCTATATAGTCCTATACGTGTGCATGGCACTTTGCATATACGATAGGCAAGAGCGATACCACCATCTATTGTAAAGGTTGCCTGACAATTTCCATGATAAGGCCCTGTTTTCAGTTACTTATAACATTGCCAAAGTTAAACTGTTTGGTTTGAAATTTTCCATGCCATGTGTCTGCCTCAGACTGAAATAGCTTGGAAAGTTTCAGTCAAACCAGTACAGCTACTTCCAAGAACAAGGCTAGAGAAAAATACATTGTATTTCAATATTGAAAACATTCTGGCAAACTTTTATCTGTGTCTCCCATGGTTTGGAGCATGGACTTGAAATTTGTCAAGGGAGTGAACTTCATGTTAGGGATATGCCTTTTGCTGTTCCTATGAAAATCTCCCTGCATTGGCTAAATTATAAAGCGTTTGAAAAAATCACAGTGCACAAACACTCAGTAGAGACTTAGAGATTTGTAGCTAAGATCACCAAAGATTCCATGCATACTGAGCATGCTCCAGCTGCTTGCAGCTTGTATGTATGACCAGACCGTGAGTGCGCCATCCCCATGGAGTGATTGAGCATGGTCCAGCCACAGGATGGGCCCAAGCACTGGAAATGAGAGAAGGGAACCTGTCTCTCTCAGTGACCCCCTTGCTAGGCCCAGGCACCAAAGGGGAGGAAGGCACAAGAGCCAGATGGGAAGAGAGGAGGAGATGGCAATAAGGAGATTGCTGGGACTGGCACTGGGGAGAGTGAAGCTGTGACTGGGAACCGGAGGGCCAGGGAGGAAATGGGACTGGTTGGGCAAGGAACCGGAGACTGGGAGCAAGTGAAGGGAAGGGTGGAACTGAGAGGTAGGGAGGGAAATGGGGGAGGACTGAGAGCCAGTTGGCAGGGGGGACACTGAGGTCAGATGAGGGAAGGGGAAAACTGGGAAACTGTTACTGATTGCACAAGAGGACAGGGAACCAGCATGGGGAGAGAGGCAAGGCAGATCTGATGAGGAACCAGGGAGCAGGAGCAGTACTGGGACCAGCTGGGCTAAGGGACTGTGACAAGGAACCATGGACGGAGTAGTGGGGAACAGAGACTGAGATTAGCTGAGAAGACCAGGGAGGAAAACTGGGACCGGGAGAAACAAGGGTGGGGGAGGATGACTGAAAGCTGTGGAAAGGTGAGAGGCAGATCCGAGAAGGAGCCAGGAAGGGGTACTGGGACTGGCTGGCAAGGAGATGGAGAGTGCGGGGAGACTGAGACTTGGACTGGGAACCTGAAGGGGAAAGATTAGGACTTGCTGGGCAAGGAAACTGGGATAAGAAGCCTGAGGAATGGAGAATAGGACTGGGACAACTAGCCAGACGTGGGGAAGAGACAAGACCGCGACAGGGAGAGGTTGGAGGGGATGGAGTAGTAGGGGTTTGGTTTGGGAAGGACAGTGGCCTGAATACATAGGATGGATGGTACTGTGTGTACAGTGTGTATAGGGGGAGCTGGTAGCAACCCCTTAAACGTAGGTTGCTTAACACTTTCTATTATACGAGATTCTTAGAACTTTTATTCAGGAAGTGCTACCACCTCCATGGTTTGGAGCAAGCCTTTAAATGTGTCAGAGAGAAAGCCCTGAGAATAGACAACAGCCTTTTCTTTTCCGCCCCGAAATTCCGTTCAGGCTCAGCTGAACCCCCTCATTAAACTACACATTTAACAAGCAAAGCATGAACAGAGAACATACAGGATGGACAGCCCTTCTCCTCCAGGCAGATCCGTTTCCTACTTCTTTTTTTAGTTTAATCAAAAACTGCACTTTCGTCCCTCCTGCCCCTTGTCCACACCTTGCTCCCCCTCTCCTTATTACTCAAACGTTATCCTCTGCAGCCTGCCTGCTTCTGCCCATTGCAGACTGTTCAAAACCTCCTTAAGTCATCTTTTTCTCCTACTACTCCACCCACATCACCTCCCTCCTTAAACCCTTCCATGGCTTTTCTCTCTTACCACATTGGTTTGTCCTAAAACTCAAGTCCTCCATAACTATCTATATCTATAAATCCCTGGCCTTATATCCTCTTCCCCCATCTCTCTCCCTAGGCTCCCCTTTATCACCTCTTCTTACTGATTCCTTCATCTCTTTCCCTCATCTCGACTTTGTACTGTCTTTAATGCTGCCTTCCTATTCCTGGAACAATCTCCCTCTTCTTTCCTGCCAAGTGCCCTTTCTCTCCTCCTGCAAATCCCCCTTAAACCACATTTCCTCCCAGAAGCTTTCCTATTTTATTTTTCTCACCCGTAAATCTCTCTGCACTCTCCCTTTCCTGAACTTTTGTGCCTTTCTTTGTCTTGTCTATTTAAGGTCCGGATCCTGAAAATGTACATGCTTAAACTCACTCCTAGGAATATTTCCATGCTGGGATGACTCACATATATAAAGTTCATCTTGAGCCTGTTTGCAGGATTGAGGCCTTAGCTTATAAATTCCTATAAGGGGGAAGGGATCTATTTACTTCCCCGTGTGTACATTTATATGTCACGCATCACAACAGTGTCTTAATCTAATGTCCTGATCCACGCAGGCAGACAACTGTGTCACACAGGCAGATCCCTGCTGACATCAGCAGGGCTCTGTGCTGTGTCAGGGGGTCCATCTGCATGGATCAGTTTGAAGGATCAGGTCATATATTTCTAACATGCTACCTACATTTATTGCCTGGTACCATTTATTAAACTATTATTAATAATAATGAATCCACATCCCCGTAGCACAGCTAGAAAGCCCTCCACTCAGGTCAACAAAACACAACTGTCATAGCTCTGGATCATATGCTGCAGACATTATGCAAAAGACACATCCTTCAGCAAAGAGACCACAGCAAGCAAATCTGACAACTACCTTGCACTAGATGTAATGAGTTGTGTCTAGACTAGTATATCTCGAGCTGCCTCTCTGTTGCCACAACGCCAGTTATTCAGCTACAAATTGCCTCGCCCCATCTAGGAACATCTGCCAAAAATTCCCAAGACAGCATCTCAAAAGGAAGCCCCCCCACCCCTGTCACACAATAAGTTCCTGCCTGCCAAAGAGCTGCAGGGCCTTCAGTCTGGTACGCTTCATGCTGTATCGCATGTGCACATAGGACAGAGGATAATTAGAGAAAATCCCCATAGAGGCTAATTGGCGACATAGATACTAGTTCCCTAAACAAGAGACTTCCTCTTCAACACACTGGGAGCTTCCCAGGACAACAACTGTCAGGGTCTCGTGTTTGTTTGTTTTTATCTCCGTGTGGAAAACTGTTCTGTAACTTCTGTTCTGACTCTGATTTTCTTTACTGTCTCTTCATAACCTCTTGTTCCACCGTTTATACTGGTTTGTCATTTTATTTCCTCCCATTAAATTCCCCATTAACATTTTTTCTAGCTAATATAGATTTCTTTCTCTCTCTCTCTCTCACTCTTTTTAGCCTGTCTCCCATTGCTCATATCATTTAGTCGTGGGCTCAACCCTATGGCCCTTTCCTGTACCTTTTAAAGTGCTACAATATTTTTTCTTATAATGGGTTGACCAGACGTGAACTCACTATTTTAAGCCGCATGATATCATGTCTTCCTCAGTCCTGTCCACTCCTTTCCTAGCCATGACTTTGGTTAATCTACTAGGCTTTTCTCATTGCCAGACATTTTGAGAGGAGCCAACCAGAGTCTCAAGGTCTCTTTCAAAGTCTCCCTAAGCAGCTTAATTCCTTTGTATTTTATACTCACTGGGCTTGATTCAACCCCTATAGCAGAAAGGGATTCACCCTGTTGAATGGCAAGGGGTGTCTACATCACCACCCTCCCCAGCTTGATTGGCTGGGGACAGCAGCTTTAACTTGCAGTTGGGATTCTATGAAAGGGCTGGAGGCAACGTAGGGGATTTGTTGAATCAGATTCCTGGCCACACCCCTTCCTCAGCCAGCATCACCCACTTCTGGGGCTAGGCTATCTGCTTACAGGCCTCC